GTTCAAGCAATTCTCCTGTCTCAGCCTCCCGAGTAGCTGGGATTACAGGCACCCACCACCACACCCAGCTAATTTTTGTATTTTATTACAGACAGGGTTTCACCATGTTGGCCAGGCTGGTCTCAAACTCCTGACCTCAGGTGATCTGCAGGCCTCGGCCTCCCAAAGGGCTGGGATTACAGGGTGTGAGCCACAGTGCCTGGCCTTTTTGGGAAAAAAATTTTTTGTAGAGGCCAGGCTCGGTGGCTCACGCCTGTAATCCCCAGCATTTTGGGAGGCCAAGGTGGGCGGATCACAAGGTCAGGAGTTTGAGACCAACCTGGCTAACAAAGTAAAACCCAGTCTCTACTAATAATACAAAAAATTAGCTGGGTGTAGTGGTGGGCGCCTGTAATCCCAGCTACTTGGGAGGCTGAGGCAGGAGAATCACTTGAATCCGGGAGCTGGATGTTGCAGTGAGCCAAGATCATGCCACTGCACTCCAGCCCGGGAGACAGTGCGAGACTCTGTCTCAAAAAAAAAAAAAAAAAAAAATTGTAGAGATGGGGGTCTCCCTATGTTGCCCAGGCTGGTTTCAAACTCCTGGGTTCAAGTGATCCTCCTACTTTGGCCTCCCAAAGTGCTGAAATGACAGGCATGAGCCACTAAGCCCAGCCAAAAAATATGTTTAAAGCAACTCCCAGAGAAGCCCACTGTATTAAAGATTTTCATGTAATTGCAGGTGAGAGTGACATATCACATACACACTGTGCTATTAAATTCAGCTGCTGGCTGTGAAGGTACACTGTTTGGGAACATCTGTCCCCCTGCACAAAGCAGCTGACCTCAGGGCTAAGAAATAAATGGCTTGGAGGAAATAGCTCTAACATGACAAATCATTTTATAAATTCTCATTCACACTCTCCCTTCAACCAGTCTTCATACTTCAGTAGCTGCTACAGGACATACATAACTAGGTAGAGAGAAACTGGGTTTGGAGATGAGAACCACACTATACCATGCACACTGTAAAGCCTGGAACTGCTTCCCTGAACTCATACCAGTCCACCCAATGTTCTGTCCTCCCCAGAAAGGTGGGAAGGTGGGATCTGGGCTTCATACAATTGGGATATACTAGTTGAGGGCCTAGCAGTAAACTTCCCAGAAAAAGGAAAAGACGGAAAACAGATTGAGTCCAGAGGGAGGAGGCCCACATGAGAAGAGGGGCTAGAGATAGTATTCTCAGCCAGATGTGGTGGCTCACGCCTGTAATCCCAACACTTTGGGAAGCTGAGGCAGGTGGATCACTTGAGTCCAGGAGTTCAAGACCAGCCTGAGCAACATAAGGAGATCTCATCTCTCCTAAAAATACAAAAATTAGCCAACTGCAGTGGTGCACACCTGTAATCCCAGCTACTCAGGAGTCTGAGGCAGGAGAATCGCTTGAACTGCAGTGAGCCAAGATTGTGCCATTGCACTCCAGCCTAGATGACAGAGTGAGAATCCCGAGTAGCTGGGACTACAAGCACGCGCCACCAGGCCCAGCTAATTCTTTTCGTATTTTTAGTAGAGACGGGATTTTACCACGTTGGTCAGGCTGGTCTCAAACTCCTGACCTCAGGTGATCCACCCTCCTCGGCCTCCCTAAGTAGTGGGATTACAGGTGTGAGCCACCATGCCTGGCCAGAGATCTCATCTCTAAAAATAAGAATAAAAATTAAAAAATTAAAACCTAGCTGGGCATGGTGGAGTGTGCCTGTGCTCCCAGCTGCTTGGGAGGCTGAGGTAGGAGGATCACTTGGGCCTGGGAGGTCAAGGCTGCAGTGACCCAAGATCGTGCCATTGCACTCCAGCCTGGACCACAGAGCGAGACCTTGTGTCAAAAAAAAAAAAAAGAGACAGAGAAGGTCTCCTCAAGCACAGCCAAGTCAGTGTCCCGGGGGCCAGAGAAACTTGACTGGAGACTGACGGCAAACAGAGATAAGCTCTGGCTGGCTGTGATAAGGGAAATTCACCAAGAAACTAACGGACCTGGACAAGCTCTGCAAGCTGGCAGGTGTCAAGAGGGACAGAATGGGAGGCGGGAGACTACAGATTTATAACAAACCAGAAGTTAGAAGCAGTATCACTACTTTCATGTTTTCTAAGGTTTGAATAAGAAAGAAGGAGCTGTTACTAAAAACAAAACTGTTACTAAAAGGAGCAAAACCCCACATAAACTCAGAAAACAAGAAATGACTTCCACAGCTTCAGTGAGAGTGAGCTGAGCGGCATGTCGGCTGACATAAGTGCTACGAATCACACAAGGCACAGTGAAGACTAAGAGGAGACACTTACTACGAATCTACTTTGAACTTTCTCCAGAATTCTTTTTTCATTTAGAGCCATAGCTTCACCTTTCCTCTTCTTTATTCTTTTTTTTTGTAGCTTTTTACAGGCATACATTTTTCCTGTGGCTCGCACTTGACAGGCACAAACCTAGTTTAAACAGCAAAGTAAAGGAGGTTTATGTCCACCTGACGTTTCTTAGGCCACACAAAGGAAACCCTTTGCTTGATGAGGCCCTCACTGGCAGAGACCAGCAGCAGCGCATGAGGAGACCGTCTCAAAGGTGGGCGTTGTCAGTGTGAGTCGGCTCCTCCTCTCAGTGACGCGCTGCATTCTATCAACTCTAAGACAGTGTACAAACGGCACTAGTTGGCATAGGTGATCACGGTACATCTGTTTAATTTTTAAATGTTCCCATATGTCTATTTTACTTTTTGTAAAAGTGCAAAAGTTTTAAAAAGTAAAACTAAAAAGATTCTTTTTTCAGCTGGGCATGGTGGTTCATGCCTATAATCCCGGCACTTTGGGAAGCCAAGGCAGGCAGATCACCTGAGGTCAGGAGTTCGAAACCAGCCTGGCCAACATGGTGAAACCCCGTCTCTACTAAAAATATGAAAAAAAAAAAAAATTCACCAGCCATGGTGGCGGGTGCCTGTAATCCCAGCTACTCTGGAGGCTGAGGCAGAAGAATCACTAGAACCTGGGAGGCAGAGGATGCAATGAGCCGAGATCGTGCCACTGCACTCCAGCCTGGGTGACAGAGTGAGACTCCATCTCAGGATTCTCCTGCCTCAGCCTCCGGAGTAGCTGGGATTACAGGTGCCCGCCACCATGCCTGGCTAATTTTTCTTGTATTTTTAGTAGAGACGCCATGTTGGCCAGGTTGGTCTTGAACTCCTGACCTCAGGTGATCCGCCCACTTTGGCCTCCCAAAGTGCTGGGATTAACAGGTGTGAACCACTGTGCCTGGCCTAAAAAGATTCTTGAATTTTTAATTTAAAAAGTCAAGAGTATAAGGAAATATATTTCATATAATTCACAATTTTCATATCTTTATTCTATTACTTCTTAAAGTAGTATTTATGTATTATTTTAACTTTATGTCATGAAAAATTTCCAACATACAAAAGTGGAAAAAATAGTATCATGAGCCTCAGGTTCTGGTCCCCCTGCCTCTGTGTCATCAACATTAGGCTACTGTTTCTTCCAACTCCCATCCATTGCACACCCCACAGGGGACTGCTTTAAAAGCAAATGTAAGACATGATATAATTTTATCTACCAATAAAACAATTTTGGTGGTAAAAGAAATACAAAGTTAATTGTAGAAAATATTGGAAGTAAGAAGGAAAGTGATTAAAAACTCACCTGCAATTCCAAGATAATCACTGTTAATATTTTGTTCTATTTGATTCTAGGCCCACCTTCTTACATGGGTATGCAAGAATACATACCCTGTTCCCCACCACCCCAGCCTTTGATGGCAAAACTGGTCTCATATTGTAAAATAGGTAATATTTCTTAACCTCCTTTTAAAAAATCTTATTGTGTGACTATTTTCCTAAATGTTTTCCTAAAATGTGACTATCGCAAAATGTATTTAATCATTTTCTTACTATTAAGACTTGGCATAAAAATCTCTTCATCTCTCTTTATCGTTAATTTTTAAAAAGTTATTCTAAGTGGAATTGGCCAATCAGAGACAGGGAATGGAAAGCAGACAAGAGTGTCAGGCACTGTGCTAACAGCTGGGGGTGAACACTCACTGGCTTAAGCAGCCTGGCGGGCAGGGCCGATTATTTCCCTGCGAGAGGTGAGATCGCCATGGCGGGCCCAAGATCACACTGCTGGAAGTGACACGACAGGACCCTGACCTCAGGTCTGTCCACGTCTGAGTACGTGCTCCTTCCACTACAGTCTGCGGCCTAACACCATGACAGCAGAGATGTCTACTCAATTCCCTTACCATTGTGCTCACTCAGGACCCTACAAATTAATCTCAGAGGACTTCAAGCATAAGCAAAAGAATTACTGTTGACAAAATAAAACCAACTACGTTTGCTCTCTCAAGACCACTAGAGGAAGTGCTAGCACTTGGAAAAAGCAAATGCACGATTAGAATCTGGATTAAAGGGCACCAAGGCTGTCCCCGCATTAGGGCGAGCAGGGCTTCTTCCGACAGGCATTCAGAGTAGGAGTGGGCTGACTGCTCACTGCCTCTGGGCCTTGACGGAGAGCACACCGCCTCCAGAGCAAGTCTGCTGAAAACTGCCACGCTTGATTCGTGCAGCCGGTCATTCGTTTGGGAACCCAAGTAAATCTGTTAAAAAGTAATCTATACAATCATAATTATACTAAGTCTTTCTTGTCTTCTTTTTTATGTATTTATTTATATTAAATATTTAAATAGAGAGGGGGTCTTGCCATGTTGCCTAGGTTGGTCTGGAACTTCTGGGCTCAAGTGATCCGCCCACCTTGGCCTCCCAAAGTGCTAGGATTACAGGTGTGAGCCACCGCGCCCAGCACCAGGTCTTTCACAATAGCTAAAATTTGCTAACATGTCCCTGTTGAATCCTATCAGGACTGACATGTTTTATAAACTGACATGTGGCTATAATTAGACTTTCATTCCTTTGTAAACACATGACCTACGTTCCAGAAATGTTTCCTCTGCTCTTTCACAAAATCTGAGTCTTTACTTTTGCAGATCATTAGAGGCAGATTAGCAAGACTTGAAGTGAGAAAATGACTCTTCTGTTCTAGGACAAACTCAAACAGAGGGCGGATTTCTTACAGAAATATCTGTCATGGAGGGACGAGAGCAAGCATCTGACTGGATTAGGCAAAATATTCTTCACGGCCTCGGGAACTGTAGCAGAGGGACAGTACTGTTACTGAAGCCATGACTATGTTGGCCAATTTCTTGTCATGTCAAGCTGCAGGTGCATGACAGATCTCGGTTGCAGTGTGCTGCCTCCTAGGTCAGCTTTCTAATTAACTTCCAGCCAATGCTAGTGGCTTTTGCTTTGAATGTGATATGGGAGCAATAATATCTGAGTCACACCCAGGCAGTGTAACCTGCTTCTGAGTTAAACATACAGTGTTAGTTTGGCAATGGCTTGCCTGGCTCTTAGGGGCTTGTAAGTTCTTGAACTCCATATGATCACTCCAGGTAACTAATAAGGTAATTAACATTCTTTTAAATTCCCCAGACCAGAACTGCTGCTGTTCTCCATCCGCCAACTACAGTGGTCTCCATCTAGGAGACCCATCATATTTAAACAACACCCCAGGCCGGGCGCGGTGGCTCACGCCTGTAATCCCAGCACTTTGGGAGGCTGAGGAGGGCAGATCACCTGAGGTCGGGAGTTCAAGACCAGCCTGACCAACATGGAGAAATCCTCCTCTACTAAAAATACAAAAATTAGCCAGGTGTGGTGGCACATGCCTGTAATCCCAGCGACTCGGGAGGCTGAGGCAGGAGAATCGGTTGAACCCAGGAGGCGGAGGTTGTGGTGAGCCGAGATCACGCCATTGCACTCCAGCCTGGGCAAGAAGAGCAACACTCCATCTCAAACAAACAAACAGACAGACAAACAAACAAAAAATCCCTCGTGAGTCTGTGAGTCATTTCCTTAGGATTTTCCCAAATTGACACATTTCCAAACACCTTTTGATGTAGGTATGAGGTACATACATGTCCAAACAGAGCAGGGTTACGTAAGTATATTTAATAATTCACTCTGTACTATGTGAATTTGGGGTCAGTCTTAAATTTACGGAAATAGAATCATGGAAATTCCACAATACAGGAGCAGAATCATCTTTCCATCTGGGCAAAGTGACTGAGCTGGGGCATCAAGCATGGAAACCAGCTTCTTCAGAACTATGAGGTAAAAGGTGAAGTCACCAAGAGAAGGGATTCTTCAAAACCTTTTGCTCAAAATTCCACGTGGATTCTCACAGTCGGCTAAGATGATTCCCAAAACGCCCACTAAGGCAACAGTGTACTGGGAGAGTTGATGCGTTACCTGAAGCCATGTTCTCAGGACCTTGCTGCCCACCCAGCTAGCAGCGCTGCTCGGAACTGGCTCCCATTACTCACCTCTCCAAATCCGCCTTTTCCTAGAACTCTGTAATGTCTAAATGTGTTCTTGGTTACGGGCTGCCTAATCAATGAGAAAAACAAGTTTCAGGTCCACATTGCATTGTTCTTTTAAAACAGAAAAGACTAATCAGCGCTTGTCTTTGCCTCATTTATTGAACCATTCTGCTCAAAGGGGATGCCCAGGACAAAGGGTGTCTGTGCTCAGGCACTGTGGCTCCCTCTAGCAGGACAGCTCTTGACTTGCTCTAAGAGCAATTAATTCATCTTTTTTTTTTTTGAGATGGAGTCTCACTCTGTCGCCAGGGCTGGAGTGCAGTGGCACGATCTCAGCTCACTGCAACCTCCGCCTCCTGGGTTGAAGCAATTTTCCTGCCTCATCCTCCCGAGTAGCTGGGATTACAGGCGCCCGCCACCACACCCAGCTAATTTTTTGTATTTTTAGTAGAGACGGGGTTTCACCATGTTTGCCAGGTTGGTCTCAAACTCCTGACCTTGTGATTCGCCTGCCTCAGCCTCCCAAAGTGCTGGGATTATAGGTGTGAGCCACCACCCGGCCAATTAATCTTAATTAACATTTAAGACACTGAAGCAAAAGGCAGAACAGTCCAATTATCCTTACTAACTAAAGACAGGTCTGAAACCAGCTGACACTAGGAAATGTGTATGTTCATAACTGCCGGTGTAGACTTGGGTAGACCCCTCTCAACCTGTCAGAAAGCAGGTGAGGAAGATGACATATATACATTGTGCCATCCTTTGAAAAAAGAACCTCAAAGATGTTTATACCCAATGCCTCAAAAACAGCATGTATAAGCAAGAACTGGAAATTTAATTGATCAATAATAATAGTACTAATAATAACACTAGTAGCAGCTAACCCTTTTTTTTTTTTTTTTTTTTGAGACAGAGTCTTGCTCTGTCACCCAGGCTGGAGTACAGTGGAGCCACCTCAGCTCACCACAAGCTCCACCTCCCGGGTTCAAGCGATTTCTTCTGCCTCAGCCTCCCAAGTAGCTGGGAGTACAGGTGCACGCCACCACGCCTGGCTAATTTTTGTAGTTCTAGTAGAGATGGGTTTCACTATTTTGGCCAGGCTGGTCTCGAACTCCTGACCTCAGGTGATCCAGCCGCCTCGGCCTCTCAAAGTGCTAGGATTACAGGCATGAGCCACTGCACCCGGCCCACAGCTAACACTTTTTAAGTACTTATTTTGTGCACCAAACATTGTGCTATAAGCGTTGTACACACATTTCCCAGGTGATCCTAGCAATGGTGCAAGGAGGCAGATTCTATAATTACCTCTAATTTACAGAACAAGGACCTGCCACTCATACAGGCTAAGCCACTTACCTGAGGCCACATAAACAGTAAGAGGCTGAGCAGGTTTTAACTGCCAGGTGCCACCCACTGCATCCTATTCTATCACCAAAAATCTAAGCTAAGTTTTATTTTCTAGTCACTGAAACAACAGGGATACCTGCCATTTTAAAAAGAGAGAACAGAGTCTATTAAATTAGAAGAAATTGTACAATACTAATACCTATGAAAATTTCTGTATAAAAATATCATATACAACTCAAAATTTCTAATTGTATTTTGACAGATGGAAAAGTCTATGTCAATCAGTATGTATCGTGAGAAATTAACACTTGTTTTATTGAGGTCTCTTTTCTTTTTTTCTTTTTTAGAGATGGGGTCTTGCTACATTGCCCAGATTGGAGTACAGTGGTTATTCACAGGAATGATCATCTCATACTATAGCCTTCAAGTCTTGGGCTTAAGCAATCCTCCAGCCTCAGCCTCCTGAGTAGCTGGGGCTACAGGCATGTGCCACTTCAACTGGCTTTTATTGAGTTTAAAATTAGAACATACCTTTCCAGCCATTTCCATTGTAAAAACTGAGAAAAATATGAGCTTTCTTGGTATTCTTCAAATGGTTCCCCTCTTAAGTAGTTATGGGTAACTCTAGAAAAAGATTTTACAAAATTATATACATTTGCTGTATTAAGAAGTAAAAACAAGTATGTTTTAGTGCATTAATAGGCACTGAATATGGGAAAGGCAATCATTACACACAATTCAATAGTTTGAATTTGCAATTATAAAAGTCCACATTAGGTTCTAACGCTGTAAGTGAAAATAGAAGTGAAATAGAATGAATGAAAAGAGCAGTGAAATAGAAGGATGCATTCCCTTCTTGGGAGTGAGGGCGTCAGCTGCTCTGTTGTCAAGCAGCACGCTTCCCATGTGCAAGGCACAGTGGAAGGGTCCCCTGGAGGACAGCACAGAAGTCAAAGCCATGGGCTGCTGCACGTCCTGCTTCAGCCACTCACTGGCTGAGGGACCTGAGCCAACTTACCCAACCTCTATGGCCTCAGTTTCTCCTTCTGTAAAACAGAAATAATAATCATGCCTACTTCATAGGGTTACTGTGAGCAGGTAAACGCATTAATACTTCCAAACATTTATTATTGTTTTGTTATTTTTTGCTGGTGGTGTTGTTTAGAGACAGGGTCTCACTCTGTTGCCCAGGCCAGAGTGCAATGGCACAATCATGGCTCACTGCGGCCTTGAACTCCTGGCCTCAAGCAATCCTCCATCCTCAGCCTCCCAAAGCGCTGGCACTACAGGTGTGAGCCACGAAGCCTAGCTTTATTATTGTTGTGTTATTACTATTATATGTCTCTTAGTGCACATGTACAAGAAAGAGTTTAGGGTGTGTACATGCCCAGAAGAGGGATGTGAAGAATAAAAGTGTGGAATGAAAGATTGGCCCTTCCTGGCTTCTGTGACATCCCAGATGAAGACAGGAAGAAATCTGATTCTTACCACAATGTCCCAGGATCAGTATCAGAGAGCACAGACCAAGCCTGTCCTGTCTGCTATACCAGAGAAGCAATCAAATGGAGCCATGAAGCCAACATCTCTTTTCTTTTTTTTGGTCTGGCTCTGTCACCCAGGCTGGAGGGTAGTGGTGAGGTCACAGTCACTGCAGCCTTGACCTCCCAGGCTCAATTGATCCTCCCACCTCAAGCCTTCTGAATAGCTGGGACTATAGGCATGCACCACCATGCCTGGCTAATTTTTGTATTAGAGACAGGGTTTCACCATGTTGCCTAGGCTGGTCTCGAACTCCTGAGGTCACACAATCTTTCTGCCTTGGCCTCCCAAAGTGCTGGGATTATAGGCATGAGCCATGGTGCCCAGCCAGAGACAACATCTTCTTGCAAAACAGTTCAAATCACAAACACTAGAATACCACTAATGTGAATATCCAACAAGAATAAGTAAAAGATGACTTGAAATTGAAAATATTTACATTTACTCTAATCCATTTACTCTAATCCATTTTCAGAGGAGGGGGCTGAGGGACAGAGGGAAGGGTTCTAGTCCAGTGCCATACACCTGGCTAGGAGAAAGATGGGATGCGTGCCATTTATCTGTGGGATGTAGAATTGGCCACTGAATTCTCACTAAAGGAATAAGTATCTAACCCAGCTCCTCAGTGTGCAGAGTACCGACACCTCAAGAGAAAGCCAGATAGACAGAGAAAGCCTTGTTTTTTATTTTATTTATTTATTTATTTATTTATTTATTTTTGAGACAGAGTCCCACTGTGTTGCCCAGGGTGTGATCTCAGCTCACTGCTGCCTCTGCTTCCCAGGTTCAAGTGATTCTCGTGCCTCAGCCTCCTGAGTAGCTGGGATTACAGGCACACACCACCATGCCCGGCTAAATTTTGTATTTTTTTGTAGAGATGGGGCTTCTCTATGTTGACCAGGTTGGTCTTGAACTCCTGGCCTCAAGCGATCTGCCCGCCTCGGCCTCCCAACATGCTGGGATTACAGGCATGAGCCACCGAGCCTGGCCTGTTTGTTATTTTCAAGGCAGTCGCATCATTAAAGCATCACGGGTTCCAGCCCCAGCCCCACCATGCTCTGGCTGCACAGGCTTAGGTGTGCCACTCCCCTAGGATGCTAGGATACTGGCGCTAAATGATGGGACCCCTTTCAGTGTGCCTCATGTGTACACGGAATTATTACTCTTCATTCACCTCTTTCTAGAGAAAGTAATCATTTTAATGGGTAAAGTACAGTTGACCCTTGGACAATTCGAGTTGAGATGCCAGGAGCCACTTATGCGTGTATTTTCTTCCGTTCCTGCCACCCCTGAGACAGCAGGACCAGCCCCTCCTCTTCCTCCTTCTCCTCAGCCTCCTCAATGTGAAGATGACGAGGATGAAGACCTTTATGATGATCTATTTCTACTTTGTGAATAGGAATTATATTTTCTCTTCCTTATGATTATCTTAATAACACTTTCTTTTTCTAGGATACTTTATTGTAAAAGTATAGCACATAATACACATAACATATAAAATATGTGTTCATCGCTGTTTATGTTATCGGTAAGGCCTCTGGTCAACAGTAGGCTAGTAATAGTTAAGCTTTGGGGAGAGTCAAAAGTTATACACATATTTTCAACTGCGCAGAGGGTTGGGTGGTATCAGCGTCCCTGATGCCCATGTTGCTCAAGGGTCAACTACACTCCAAGAACTTGTTTTATGCAGAGAAACCTCCTGTAAGCTGTCTGTCTCGGGGTTAGTCACAGACAATATATGCAGGGCTCGGCATGAACCACTTACCTAGTACATTCCTCAAAGACTTTTTTGGAAGGGTTCTCCTCCTTCAGTCCCAATCTACATTCTCTCACAACATCTGGAGGTATTTCTGGTAAAGGGGCTGCCAACTTAATATAGTACAAACCAAATACATAACCATTAGTGATTTCATAACTTACTAGTAAACAGAACCTAATGCCTATTGTAAAAATATGAAACACAAAGTGTATACAATGTAAGTCAAAGTGCCACCTGCCCCTCCATGCTAGTCCCACTCTCCAGTGTTCTGCTATTGTCTGCCTCTTCAGATCTTCTCTGATGCACATCAAAACACACACAGGACAGAGGGCCTGACACAATGGCTCACACCTGTAATCCCAGCACTTTGGGAGGCCGAGGTGGGTGGATGGATCACCTGAAGTCAGGAGTTTGAGACGAGCCTGGCCAACATGGTGAATCTCCATCTCTAGTAAAAGTACGAAGTATTAGCCAGGCGTGGTGGTAGACGCCTATAATCTCAGCTACTCAGGAGGTTAAGGCAGGATAATGCTTGAACCTGGGAGGCGGAGGTTGCAGTGAGCTGAGATCGTGCCACTGCACTCCAGCCTGGGCAATAAGAGCAAAACTCCATCTCCAAATAAAACAAAACAAAACACACACACACAGAGAATGGAAAGCAGGGTCTCAAAGAGGTATCTGCACACCCATGTTCATTGCAGCATAATTCATCGTAGCCCAAAGTGGAAACAACGCAGGTGTCTGTGGATGAATGGATAAATAACATGTAGTATATACGTAGAGCAGAATATTATTCAGCCTTTTAAAAAAAGGACCTCCTGGGCTCATGCAATCCTCCCACCTCCACCTTCCAAGTAGCTGGCGCAGCCACCACACCTGGCCAAATTTTTTTTTTTTTTTTGGAGACAGAGTCTTGCTCTGTCGGCCAGGCTGGAGTGCAGTGCGCCGGATCTCAGCTCACTGCAAGCTCCGCCTCCCGATTTACGCCATTTCCTGCCTCAGCTCCAGAGTAGCTGGGACTACAGGCGCCCGCCACCTCGCCCGGCTAGTTTGTTGTTTTTTGTTTGTTGTTTGTTTTGTATTTTTAGTAGAGACGGGTTTCACCGTGTTGCCCAGCGAAGGTCTCGATCTCCTGACATTGTGATCCGCCCGTCTCGGCCTCCCCAAGTGCCGGGATTACAGGCATGACCACCCGCGCCCGGCATGGCTAATTTTTTTGAGATGGAGTCTTGTTCTGTGGCCCAGGCTGGAGTGCAGTGGCACAATCTTGGCTCACTGCAAGCTCCGCCTCCCGGGTTCAAGCGATTCTCCTGCCTCAGCCTCCTGAGCAGCTGGGATTACAGGTGCCCGCCACCACGCCTGGTTAATTTTGAACTGCTGATCTCAAGTCATCCTTTGGAAGGCCTTAGCCTTCCAAAGTGCTGGGATTACAGGTGTGAGCCACTGTGCCCAGCTGTACCTGGCTAATGTTTGTATTTTTTGGACAGCCATGTGGCCTAGGCTGGTCTCGAACTCCTGAGCTTAATCGATCTGCCCACCTAGGCCTACAAAAGTGCTAGGATTATAGGCATGTGCCACTGTGCCCAACCTGGGTCCAGGGTTTAAAGTATGTGCTGACGTTTACAGAGCTACCCCATTTTCTTGAGTGACTGCACAGTCTTCCGGTGTACGAGTTTATCTGTCCCCAGTTACATCCTAGTTGCCAATTTTCCCACACAAACAGCACCACCATGAATGTCTCCATACACGTGTATTTTTCTATAGGATAGATTCCTAAAAACAGAATTACCAGCTCAAAAAGATGCAAGCATTTTAAACATTCATATTTATTGTGAAACTGCCTTCCAAAACGGCTCCACCGCTCTACATTCCCACTCACAGTGTTCCACGCGCCCAGGCCCCACTCTCTTTAACCCTCATCCAGAGAATTCTGGAAAAAGGAAACACATGACAAAACCACGGTCCAGATTCAGTGAAAAAATACCCACGTCATGCTCAATTGTGTGCTTGTAACCGAAACAAGAAATGCATTCTAGACTGACTTCTGACTGTGATAGGGCCAAGCGACCAGAGGAAATATGTGTTTATAAATCAGTTATTTCCTAACATAAGTTGAAAGATAGTAAACAATGAGAAAACTCACGTTTAAAAAAATCAACAATGTTATCACAATTAATCATGATTAGTAGCTGCCATTTAAACTATCTGATACATTTGAGGCATTTAAATATCTATGGTCTCGGGCGGGCGTGGTGGCTCATGCCTGTAATCCCACCACTTTGGGAGGCCGAGGAGGGTGGATCACCTGAGGTCAGGAGTTCGAGACCAGCCTGACCGACATGATGAACGCTGTCTCTACTAAAAATACAAAAATTAGCTGGGCGTGGTGGCAGGCGCCTGTAATCTCAGCTACTCGGGAGGCTGAGGCAGGGGAATCACTTGAACCCAGGAGGCAGAGGTTGCAGTGAGCCAAGATCACGCCACTGCACTCCAGCCTGGGCCGTCAGCCTCCTGAGTAAGCTGGACTACAGGTGCCCGCCAAAATCCCCGCCGACGCCCTGGCTGACACTTGTTTTTTTGTTAATTTTTAGTAGAGAACCGCACGGGGGTTTTCACCATGGTTAGCAGCAGGGGAATGGTCCTTGATCTCTCCTGACCTCCGTGATCTGCCCCACCCTCCGGCCTCCTAAAGTGGCCTGGGATTACAAGGCATGACGCCCCACACCGGCCCAGCCCCACATTTTTTAAAATAGGAAAGTAACAGGTAATTTTTCAACACAGAAAAACAAGCATATTCTGCCAAACTGCACCTCCCTCTCTCTCCACCGTGGTCTTTCCCATCAGAATTTCCTCGCCCCTAAAATTTTAAAAGCAAGGCACTTCCGTCATTTGGTATATTTGCCCTGTAACTACTTCAATTCTGAAAAACAATGAAATGGTTCCCTTAATGTAAAAGCCCCAGAAGTCCTCAGTTCTGCAATCCACGTCTGGTAGTTCTATACTCCTCCACCTTGCCCATACTTCAGGTCACTCTTAGCTTACCGTCCTCCTCTCTCGGATGTCGATATTAGAAGCACTGCTTTTGCTTCTGTGTGGGGGAATAAATAACCTATTAATATAAAAGATTTTCTATGAATATTGGAAAATGGGAACACACTATTTGGTGTTCATCATTAAATG